CCAAAAGTTGGGAATTTTTGCATGTGTGAAGGTGTTCAATGGTTGAACATTTGTACATATTTCTTGCTCATACCTCTTACTATTATAGCATCCATTTGTTTTGACTGAGCTTCTGGGGTAAGTTTTATGATCTACTATGTTCACAATACTGGAAATGGCTAGCTTAGTTTATCATCCGTCTGAGAAGTACAGCAAACATGGTGGCAAATAAACACGAATCAGTTATTGCATGGTGGATTTGATAAGACTGTTAATTGCAATGACAATCATGTCTGTTTTTTCGTTTCTCATTGTTATGAAGATCCATCATAATTCTCATTGTGGTATCTTCACGAGAACAGGTATCTTTTTCGAGGAGAGAGGTTCGTGAAGTTAGTGGTGTGTTTGGCTTATTAGCAAAAGTAAGTTGATAAAAGTGGGCTTAGGATTTAATTGGAGATTCAAGCTGTTAAAATTTTCAGCTTCTCACAACTATTGATGTCATATTTTCAACTGTCCACTTGAGTCATTTGTTCTTCGTATTCACTTTTTACAATATAATTCATCCATTTATTGGTCCCCCATTCTTGATTGCAGATCTATAAATACTATTTGTATTTTATGTCAGCCCCAATCTTGTATATTGGTCACTGTATTCCTCAGGTAATGCGATATCTCTTGCCTTTTTAGTCATCATGCCTTTCTTCACTCATGGAGTTAATGGGTTGTTTTCCTCTTTTGGTATTTCTTCGAGACAGATGAAAATGCACGTCATACTCTCATTTTGGCCTTTCGGCCACTACTTACAATCCTCATGTGTGATGTTCTAATCTGGTTCTCTATGCATGTTGTACTCTCATTTTGCCTTCCGTCCAGTACTTACAATCCTCATATGTGATGATTTAATCTGGTTCTCTTATGTGAGAATGGTCAGATTTGGCTGCTTCGAGGAAGCAATCAGAGTTAAAACTACATCCAGAGGTTATCAAGAGCAGTTGATATCATTGCTTGAGACCAAAAAAGCAATTTGGCAAGATTGCAATGTGTTAAAACCCACAGATTCTCAGTAGGAAAAGCTGATGTATATGGTTGCTACAGAGCTTTGTCATAAGCCTCTGATGTTGTCCATCAATGATCTTCATAGTATCTATTTGTTTTAAAAGCTACATTTATCTGTCTATTTCTAGTGCTGGGAATTGGACTTTACGCAAGACAATAAATGAAATCAGTGCGTTTTAACTCTCTGAAACTCTACCAAGAATGTGTTGAAGCTCATCCATGCAAAATGTTTACAGCAAGCTTTTGAATTTGGTAGTCAAGATGGCTGTGTTTGATTGCATGATACCAGAAAATGTTATCCATTTTAGGGTCAGCATTTTATTGGGCTTTATAAAGTTTTATTGTGACTTTTGAAGCCCATTGATGTTGATAATGTGCTCTTTAATTTGCAGGGTAGTTTAGTCTACTGGGTGACGAATGCTTCAATGACTCTTTTTCAGGTCTGCCTCTATATTTGTCGTCATTGAAGTTCTGCATCCATCCAGGCAATGCTTCTTACGGGAATTGTCCCTATTTAGACTAGACCGTCCACATGTCAATTTATGGGGTTGTTTTGATATCTTTGCTTTGGGAGATTGATTTATAAATAGTTGTGACGCTAACATCTGTTCTTAGGATCCTTGGTTGGGTGATTAATGATGATTAGTAAAGGAAATAGTTACGAGGAAAAGTATGATCAGTTTTTGAAGTTCAAGATAACTAGTGATCTCAACATCACTAGAAAAATAGAAGATAGTTTACACTCAGTGCTCTTAAAAGATGCTTGTCCACTAGGTCTTCCAGTATTTATTGATGTTACTTAGAACTTGAGTGGGTCTTGTGGAGTACCAATTCAAGAAAGTTGAATTTACTTATTTAGTGAAAATAGATACGACTTTCTTCTTTCTTGCTGAAATTGAAAGTGCTAAAGGTTCAATAGGAGTCTAAGGAGTTATATATGCTAGTCTATCAGTCATATACATTTGAAAAAAAAAAAATGATGTGTGGGTGTGAATTTTTTCTTTCCAATGATTTTTACAGCATTGTGCTTGCTGCTTGGTTACCGGGGAACTTATTTCTTGTCAATTTTCTGTTATAGTTCACCTTTTGCTAAGGCTTCCTTAAGGCTTCCTTTCTCTGAGGAAATCAGAAGCAGCTCTGGCATCTTTACCTATACGCGCCTTCATTAATGAAATTATACAATTAGGTTCCTCCACCCTTAACGAATGAGTATTGTCAAGTTCCTCGTCTGATACCTTGCAAAACTTTTAAAACTTGGACCTATTCCAGCAATTAGCTCTCAAGCATCCAGCTGTTCGTTCAAAGTTGGGTTTGCTGGTGGAGGACATCTCCAAAGCTGCTGCCAAACCTGAAGAGATAGTGTCGTCTCACCCTCCCTCAAATTCCTCAATAGAACAAAGTGAAGTTCCTGTGCAAAACTTATCACCTAGGCAACTGCATGCTGTGAGTGTTTTAGAGTTGAAAACAAAATTTCGTTTGTTGTGAAAAATTGCACTCTCAATCATATTTAGGCTTCCTAATTTGATTTCTTGACAGCTTTCAGTTGTACTAATCGCCAAGGGCCAAATCTATCAAGCTATTCCTTTACTAGAGTAAGTTGCAAATTGTCTTTTCGCATACTGCCTATAGAAGCACTAATAATTGATTCTTATTATAGATTGGCACTTGAGAAAGATCCGGAATGTGTTAGTGCAATGATTGGATTGGGGCAGGCTTTATTGCAAGATGAAGAGCCAGTAGAGGCTGCTGAGCATTTAGAGCGTGCTATTTCCAAGGTAAAAGGGCTTTGTAATTTTATTACATCTAACCTAATTTCCGTTTGACAGTGGAGGATTATGGTTGGCTAACGTAGAGAAAATTTATGGATAATGACATTTTAAAATTTGGTTTCGAACTTGTCTCATTTGTTAGTCTCTGGTTTCTTGTCCTCGTGTAATAAGTAAGATGGTTCAACTAGTTGATATAATTCTGCTCTTATGCTTGTGTACTTTTCCTGGCTCAGATTTTTGTTGCTCATTATCTTACGGAAGCTGAGTATACAGATCTTTTAGTTGGTGCATCCCAGTGGGCTGGTTTCGCTTATTTAAAGCAGGTGAGGCTCAATTAGGCGGTCTTGGTCCGCGTAGTTTACTCATTTAAATCTGTGTTCCAGTTGTTTTTCAAAAGAAAATTCAGGAAACTGTATTTTGAGATGGTGATGTATCAACTGCACAACTGGGTCAATATGAACTTAAAACTATTTGGTCTATTAATCTGCAGTTGTTTCTGGATGTTCCAGGGCAAGAAAGCAGAAGCAATTCGCCACTTGGAAAGAATTCCTTGTCTGAAAGAGCCACATGAACCAAAGAGCAAAGAGATTTATTACGATGGGTTGGTCCTGCTAGCAGTGTATGGTGTCCATTCTTTTGCTCTAATTCCATAAATCATCCTCTCCAGAGGCTTTCAAAGCTGTTGTATCTTGATGGTGAATTTACCCCGAACATCACCGATTCATTAAGTTGGTTGCCTGATGCAGTTGTCTGTCCATCGAAGGTCGGAAGGCTGAAGCTGCTAAGTATCTGCGTTTAGCCGTTGCTTACGATGCTTCTCACGAGTATTTATTGGAAAGTTTGGAGAAGGACGATGACAACTTAGTTAATGATCTTGTTAACAGCAGAAGAGCGGACTACTGATCAACTTCTTACAGGAATTGTACATCACCCTGTTCGTTTTCCGCCTGGTGTTACTCTTACTGGAGTGGCGATTTTGGTTAGAACACTCGGCCACTTTTTTGGGCCTTCATGATTTTCACAATACTTTTTGTGCATTCGATTGCAATAATCCGTTGTTACGTCGTAAGGCAGTTATATTACAACGGCGCGTCACATAATTGTTTCTGTACACTGGGATGGCATATGAATGCCTTGATGTACACGGTTCGTCGCTTGTTTGTAAGATCTGTCTAGCCTTCATCAATACATTGTGACATTTCATGGAAGCTATGTGTATTCGATGGATTACTTGGTAACAGACTTGGTAGCATTCGACATGTTGCTACTCGAGCGCACCTTCGAAACCACGAATATCTCCATAGAGATAAATTTATTTTTTTGGATAACAAATTCAATTAAAGGCTACATTTATTGTCAACTTACAAATAAAACTTCTTTCAATAATCATCTAAGGCGCTATTTGTTTCGTGGAAAAAGAATGATTCGAAAAGTGTATTATGAAAATGAACGATTGTATAGTTTACAAAAATGAATGAATGCAAAATATTTTTATTATTCGCAAAAATATTTAGACACGAATTGTTTCTAACAATGAAAATATTTCTTATTGACTAATTATTTCTAACGACACAAGTGATCATATTTTGAAATTTTTTTTTTCTAAATAATTCATTTTTCAAGAAACAAACAGAGCATGATAATATTTTTCTCACCATTCGATGGGCGAAGCACCTTTGCATCAATGACACAAATGGTCTGTGAACTTGTGCAATGTCGTTACTGAACTTTTAAATTATTCAATGTGATCATTGAATTTTCGGTACATGTTTTATTTAATCCCTAGACAATATGAAAATATTCAACACTATCCTTGAACTTGAATTAATGGAAGAACAACATTAAATATTTGCATATAGTTCAAGGATCAAATTGAACATGTACCAAAAGAACAAGTTAAAAGTTTAAGGATCATATTGTACATTAAGGTAAAATTTAAGGATCACATTAAATAAATTAAAATTTCATGGACCATATTACATGTTGAGTGAAAGTTCATGGATCATTTATGTCATTATCCCTCTATATATTACAAATTGGAGATTTGCTCCTTTACTTTCCCATTCAATCGAATCAATCCCAAACCTCATGCGGGAAAAACACAAGGACATCCCGTCCGGCCCGGTCCGTGTCCGACCGACCGACCGACCAATCGAGCTTTTATGCTGCCACGACTCAACGAACGCCCAGAAAAACTGGGACTTTTAATCGATTGCCCCATGCATTTCCATTCCTTCACGTTGTAAACGAGCCGGAAGACGAAACCCACCAGTAATTTCGTGCTTCGGTTCTTGCTCGACAACTTCCTGGAATTTCAATCTCGTTCTCTTCTTGAATCCAGCGGTGGGTCTGTTTCTTTTGTGCAGCTTTTCTTTTTCTGGGTGCAGATTTTCCCTTTTCCTTCTTCCTTCCCCTCGTTTCCCAACATTCATTGGTCGATTTTGGCGAGTCCAAGTTTTGCTGATTTTACCTTAGATGCGAATTCTTTGCTGGGTCTTGACTCTCCGCCATAAGCATATTCCGGGTCATCGTCAAAATCCCAAATTTCTTTTCCTTCTGCCTGATTCCTGAATTCGGTCGAGAACCATGATTTCCATGTCGGGTCGATAATTCATTGGTCGATTTTGGCGAGTCCAAATTTTGCTGATTTCAACTTAGATGCGAATTCTTTGCTGGTTCTTGACTCTCCGCCATAAGCATATTCCGGGGCATCGTCAAAATCCCCAATTTCTTTTCCTTCTGCCTGATTCCTGAATTCGGTCGAGAACCATGATTTCCATGTCGGGTTCTCTGTTGCTGCCTCCTAGTTTGTCCGGTAATTCTCCTCGACGTGTTGGGTTTTCCGTTCGGAGGAAAAGTGCTCTGGAATCGCGTGGCGGCGAGCAGAGGAATGTGGTTTGTGGGTGTATGGCCCCTCCGACGAACCTGAGGAGCGATGGATTTTCGGCAACCAGATACAATGTAATACTCTGTTTCAATTTCCATGTTGATGCCTTCCCGTTGGAATTTGTATATATTGGTTTTGTAGATTTATGTTAATTTATTGCTTATGCTCATGTTTCTTGCGCTAATTTCTTTTAATGGACGGCTTATACTCGTTTCATTTTGTGATTAATGCTTGTATTAGGTGGCCTCGTAATCCCATCTTGGTCTTGGCAATTATCTGATGAACGTAGACAAGTTTTGGTTAGGTCTAGCTAATCTCTCTTCGCTCGGTTCAGCTATGTAGGATCAGCCTGTTTGAGGATTGGGTTCCAAATTTGTCTAGTGCATAGTGTTAGGTGAGTCTTTCTTAGTGTGTTCTATACTCAGATTGGTCAAAACTGTATGCTCTGTATCTGAACAATCTCAGCACTATATATCTAAGTTTATGTTGGCCTACCATCTACTGTAGAGGTCTGGCAATTTGATGATTTAGTTTTGTGTACATCTGCTAGAAGTTCTTTTGTATTTTGTTGTAATTTTCATAATATCTCTGGATCATACCATGTATTAAGGTTGCTTACTGAGTTCATCTTTGTAGGATCCATCCAAAGTGGGGAAATTGGGCATAGTCCGGGAGCAGGAGGGTGATTCAGATGTCCTCATTGAGTGTAGAGATGTGCACAAGTCGTTTGGTGAGAAGCATATATTAAGGGGTGTGAGCTTTAAGGTGATTGTTTGTATTTCATGGATTACATAACCATGCACGTCGCTATATTATGATTAGCCTGTAGCCTGTTTTCATTAACTGGATTTATTAATTCCTAAAGAAGCCTGGAGACAAAGCCCTTCTATTGCTAATTACAATAACTTTGTAACAATTGAGCTTTTGTTAAAAGACTATTAGTTGGACACACCAGTAATTATGCATACTTGTATACTCATCAAACGCTTAAATTTGTTAAGCCCCTCCATTCCATAGGCAATTTAATTAGCTACTTGGTCAACATACACGGCTTTTCCCTTAGGCAGGTAACATCATTCCTAGCTCTCTTTTAGTGTATTTGAGCATTTCAGGCAATGTTGGTAATACTCTATGAAGAGATTTTCCTTTTATATTGTAACTGGACTGATCAAATTTTCCTCTGAGCATCCAATTGTCATCTGACTAGAGTTCCGCTGAGAATCCTACTCCATATCAATTTAAATTTTCCACACTCTAGGAAGACTTGCTTTCTGACTAAGTAGTCTGATCATGTAGAACACCATTCGAGTGGGCGTAAGTCTTCCTTTTCTTAATTTTCTTGAGTGTTTCTGAACTTTGGATCCACTTTGATGATCTGTTGCAAGAAGGTGTTTTATGCCTTTGTATTGTTGTGGATGGAATGACTCCAGTCTATGCCCCTCAATATTTTGCTGCGACTTCCATTTTCCAGCAATTGAAGATTTTCCATTGCAAAAGTGAAGTCCAGACCAAAATCCACATAACTTGATCATTTCTTCTGTCAATATTTTTTGATCTGCTTATAGTATTCATTTCCACCTAGAGAATCATCTACTAAATCTGGATACTTCATAAAGCGGACACTTCAGAATGATTATCACTGATTGAACTCTCTGGAGATGATTTTTACAGTTTTGTGATACATTAACAAATTTTTTGCCAGTGAATGTAGGATTATAATATCTCTACGTGATGACCCAACTCTTATATATTGTTTTTTTTTAGACACTCACCTATCCCATGTGATTCAGCTGTTTAAAAAATCAAATGACATTTGCATGTAGAGACGCCTTTTCTAATCAACCTCTTCAAATATAGATTAGACATGGCGAAGCTATTGGAATAATTGGTCCTTCTGGCACTGGGAAATCTACGGTTTTGAAGATTATTGCAGGACTGCTTGCCCCAGACAAGGTAATTAACTGTAACCGGTATTCTTCTTGTTCTTACTAACATGCTTTACTGTGAATACCTTTGAGCAGTAGGCCTATATATCTTGCTTATCAGCTATCTTATGTATTGAGATAAGTAGGGAGAAGTTTTCATTCGAGGTAGGAAGCGAGTCGGTCTCATCAGTGACGAGGAGATATCTGGTCTGCGAATAGGATTGGTAGGTCCCGCCCCTCACCCCTAACAAAAATAAAGAAAATTGCATTGCTTGTCTAATTATTGAACAAAGCCACCGTTTCTTCTCCTTTTCTGCAGGTATTTCAAAGTGCTGCACTTTTTGATTCCCTCACCGTTCGGGAAAATGTTGGTTTTCTCTTGTAAGAGACACAACTAAATCATCTATGACATCAGCTTTAGTCAATTTTCCCTTCAGAGTTTTGAGTTGCTTTTGTGGAGAACATTGTTGACTTCTTCAGTGATTTCTCACAGATATGAAAATTCCAACATGCATGAAGATAAAATCTCCGAGCTTGTGACAGAGACCTTGGCTGCTGTTGGATTGAAGGTATTATGAGCTTAAGATTTTTAGTCTGCATGTCTGAGTTCAGATGAGGGGAGAAGCATCATATATGATCTTAAAATATAAGGGGCATAAATTGAACTTCGCCTGGTGTCTCGACCAGATGCCAAAGAGCTGTAAGGATATGTGGCCTGAAAGCCACGATAAATCTCTTCTTGTGTTAATATCCGGTGTTATATTTGATTTACCATATTTTGGGATTGTGTTGTTGCTATTGCGTGAGTTCACAAGTGTAATAAGAGCCAATGGAATAGGTTCAGTTGAAATTTACTATTTAAGGTTGCAGTCTGTTTTTATGGCTAACAACTTGCAGTTGAAGTGAAGTGGAGAAGAATAAAGCAGTTAACTTATTAGATTGTTATTGAATGGTGTATTTCAGGGAGTTGAGGATCGATTACCCTCTGAATTGTCTGGAGGGATGAAGAAACGTGTTGCTTTAGCTCGGTCTATTATTTTTGATACCACAAGGGATTCAATAGAGCCAGAGGTATTAGATGCTCTTCCTGCTTAATCTTCTTTCAGAATTTTTCTGCAAGTGCTTGAAGACTTGGCGTGATTTCAATAATAAACTAGATTTTTAGACATCTTCATTTTCCTAGCGCTTGGAGTTTGTGTCTTTAAATTTGCAAATCAAGGGTAATCGAGGCCGTCCCAAGGCTGCAGAAGAGGGCCTATGTCCCTTTAAGTTTCTGTGATAATGTCACACCTTTATGAGCGGAGAGTATGATCTTGTGGTATTCATGGATGGTTTTGATTGATTGAAAGAGAAATGATTAAGTCACTGCCCCTTGTTTTTGGTCCTCATGGGAATGTGTTTGTAGTGATCTTTCTTTTGAAGCTCCGTTGAAAATTGGCTATTTTTTGTTGCACTTGCTTGTGCTATATTGTCGGTAAAACCTTGGTTCCCCTAAGGAAACAAAATCTTAGAATCTTAGTCTGACTTGTATTTGCCTCACTTTTTGATGTTTGAAAGAGGAAGAAATCACAATGTGGTGAGCAAGAACTAAAAGTCTACAATGCAAGTAACAATTTCGTCAAATGTTTGATTCTTCCATTTTCATTTCTTTCTCCACCATCGGTGTGACTGCTTAAAATATGTACAACATAAATATTCTGCAAGGGAAGATATTGGGTCTAAACCTTCACCTTCTTCCTGATTTTTCTGTATCTTTAAGGTACTCTTGTACGATGAACCAACAGCTGGGCTTGACCCTATTGCATCCACTGTGGTTGAAGATCTTATCCGATCTGTGCATTGGAAAGGTGAAGATGCACTTGGAAAGCCTGGGAAGATATCGTCATATGTGGTTGTCACTCATCAGCACAGCACCATCCAAAGAGCTGTCGACAGGTTCTACTTTCTCCAGAACTGTTCCCATCGTTCCAGTGTTTTCTTTGTCATTTTTCGTTTTGCTCAAGAGTATGAATAATAGTACATTAACATGTTCAGGTTGATATTTCTTTATGAGGGAAAGATAGTTTGGGAAGGAATGACTCATGAGTTTACGTCGTCGGCAAATCCGATTGTCCGGCAGGTAATTATCATAGCTTTTGCTTCGAACCTTTCGTTTCACTCAGTGAGTTACTTCGCTTGTCATCGTTATGGAGCTCACTCCATATAGAATTTTTAACAATCATCGGTGCTTTCGTAATATACCTAGTAATCTGTAAAGTTTCATGTGAAAATATGAGATTAGTATTTCTTTCAAATGGTACTTCACATATAAACTGTTCCGCGGAGAAGTGACTTTTAGAGGGTTTGTTTACACAACCCGACAACACTTGAACAACGTAGGCAAGACATTTGAGTAGTCCCTGGTTTGGTTATTGTGTTTATTTTAAATGGTACTTTGTAATGAATGATTATTTCATGTAAATCTTCCTAAAGATGGTTTTTGCCCTTTCTTTCTTCGATGTGAACAGTTTGCTTCAGGAAGCTTGGACGGTCCAATTAAATACTAGCGCTTGATGTATACGAAAAGTAGTCATGGTCTTGAGATTTTCTCAAGAGGCGAGTCAAGCGGATAGCGGACTGGTCGGGCCACCTGATGTGCTTGCACGTTCAACACGATTAACTTACATCATAGGGGCTAACAGAAGTTGCATTGCGTTGTGGACACGACCGAGATGGGTTGAGATAAGTTATACCTTCACCACAGAGGCATCAGGTTGGTTGTTTGTATGATAATTCGATTTCTAATAGCAGAATCGAGATCGTCGTGTTGAATTTTTTATTTCAAATGTTTTGGCTATTAAGATTTGACTCCAGAAGTAGCATTTTTGGACTGAACCAAGTATACTGTATTGAATTTACTCTGTACCATGTCAAATGAGAAGCAACTCTCAACGGAACTGGTTCAGCAAAAAGCAAAAAGCAACTCTGAAGAGAACTGATGGTTACTTTCTCTCGAAGTCCCCATCTCGTGAAATGCGTGCTTGTAGGTGCGTGAGTGCAATCTAATGCTGCGTTTGTCCAATGAAAATATTTTTGTTCACTCATTTTCCAAAAGCGATATAAAAGATCGAGGTAGGAAAGTCTTTTCTAAATTGTTGATTTCCTTAAAACAAATGCACCCTAAATTAGCTTCAAATCATTATTAAAACTCTCAAATCGGTACTTTTATCATACATTTATCTAAAGTAATTTTTGTCAGACAAAAATGCCTAATCTGGTGGTCCATAACAAATTTTACATCAAATTACTTTTTTGTCTAGAAAATGGTATCCATGATTTAAATCTTCCCTTCGATAAAATGCATACTTGTCAACAAACATGGATTTTTCACGTTGGATTTATCATTTTTTATGTCAGATCTATCTTATATTCATCTGTTATGTGTGTTAACACCTATGCGTTTTAATGGTATATTGGACGAAATGCTAATAGAGGGTAGATTTGGATTAGAGGTACCAATTTGGTTTTTTTTTTGTGAAATGAAAATTAATTTGGAAAAAGTGTTATGGAAGCACTGGCTTGGAATTATTGTGAAACAAAAATTAATTTAGAGTAAATGTGTCATGGAGTATCAATTAGGGATTTTTTTTTTATGGTAATAACCCTTAAACAAAAGACTTGCTTAGTCGCAAATGGTTTGTTCATTCGTTGTTCGAAGCGATTTGGAACTATGACGGCATATTAGGACCCGCATCTTTTCCATCTAATCGACGGCAATCATCACAATGGTGGTTGTGTTATCGGGATCATTGCTTGAAACTAAGCCGCGCCGGCCCCTCTCCTATCCTCTACGGGCTGTGCCAGCCGGACACGAAAATGGATTGGGTCTGGCCATGGCAGCCAAACTTAACTTAAACTATTGAGAGATCTCAGGTGACGACCCCGATGACGGTGGCCGGAGAGGCATGACCACCGCGAAGTGGAGAAACGTCTAGAGATCTATTTTTCATGGTCAACTTTGTTTTCTTTTTCCTCTGTTTTTTTGGTATCCTATTTGGCTGGCATAAAGTCATCTGTTCTACTCGTACAACTGGTTCGAGATGTCATTTGACTTATACAGACATCCTATCCGAAGTGCGCCATCAAATGTCGGATAAAAGCACATTCTATGCTATTGGGACCCTTATTTAGCTAAGCCCTTCTAGTCCTAGATATCTCTTTTTGGCATTTCTTGGGCCTTTATATTCACAATCACTCCTGTCCCTCAAGCCTGTTAGTTTAGTCTCACTAAGAACTTCGGGTCTTTGTGCCTAAGTTCATCATCATTAGAAAAAAAAAATTATGACTAGGTTGTCCTTGAGTTTCTTTTTTCATGTTTAATGCCATCTATAAACTTTTTCCCTTTTTTGCTCAATCCAGTTCTTGAACCTTTAAAAATCCACTTAATGTAGTCTTTTTGTTAAAAACATCGTTAGCTAACGTGACCATAATTTCAGTTAACTTGATGTTAGATTTGCTATGCCGGCATTCACATGTCTTACATATGGCTTCTGTGTGTCTGTGTGTGTGTGTGTGTGTGTGTGTGTGTGTGTGTGTGTGTGTGTGTGTGTGTGTGTGTTTTGGTCCAAAAGGAAAGGAAAAAGAGATTTGATGTAGTAGGATGACGTGGAATCCATATCATTATTTTCCCTCGGTAAATGCCGATGTAATAACCACTAGAGTTTGCCCCAGTGGTCACTTTTCCTACTTAGAAATGGAGAGGTGGGGAGTTCGATTTTCCACATTCTCCAAGGGGGCTAGGAGTGAGGATGTGTAGTTTTAGATATGGGTTTCGACTTTCATGCCCTGCAAAAAGTAAAGCAAAAGTTTGAGAGTGAGTGAAGAGCTAAAGTAGAACAGAAAAAAAAACCGCCAATGTGACGGTCCATGTAATGCCGTGACAATCCAAATTATTATTTTGCCCCATTAAATGGTGACGTGGCGGTCCACGTTTAAAAATATGTATGACATGAGGATGCATAATAGGACTCCATTGAGTGGATTTTTAAAAAATTAGGGATCATTCATATCGGGGAAAATTGTCCAAAAAGTTCTAAACCAATTGTTCGACCATTAATTCAGTCATAAACTTTTTAATTTGACTAATTTAGTTATGAACATTTTGATGATTTTTCAATATAATTCATTTAGCCAATTTAAGCAGGAAGTCGCTGATATGGCATTAGCTATCCTACGTGGCGCAGTCGGCGATTGACGTGCACGATTTTAAATGAAATGGTGTCGTTTTACAATTTTTTAAAAATAAATTTTCTGTTTTTTTCTTTTCATTTGTTTCTTTTTTTCTCATTTTCCTATTCTTTCCTTCTACTGCTTCCTTCCACCGATCAACGGCCACAGCGATGGCTTGTAAGCCCTCGCCCATATCTGGAGGGCCACCCACGATGCGCTCGTTGGCTCTTTCCAAGAAGATGAACAGTGACGAAAAGGAAAAAAAGAAAATTAGCAAAAAACCAAAAACTTTTACAAAATTTCTCAAAACAGTGTCGTTTTGAGTGCAATCAAACACGATAGATCGCCAACTAGGTTACGTATGATAGATGATGCAAACTAGACCATTACGTCGGCGATTTTCTACCTAATTTGGCTGGATGGACTATGTTGAAAAATTATTAAAAGGCTTAAGATTACATTGGCCAAATTAAAAAGTTGAGGGCTTGAATTTAAGAGCGCATAATAGGTTAAGGACTTTTTGGATAATTTTGCCATTAATATCATTACCCAAAAAAAATTCCAAACTATATAGTTGTTAAAAATAATCTGGGGTATGACACAATGAGATTTGTAATAGGACTTGTTAATTGACAAGCTATTACAAAAATATTAATTGACCGATGGAAAATGAATGCTATTACAATGTGTTATTACCTCGAGTTTTGTCAAATTTCCCCAACAGTCATGAACCATGATATCTAAAAGCAAGTGGACTACCAAAATAAGAAGGGTTAATACCACGAAAAACCCTAAACTGGTACACTTGTGACAATTTTACCCCAAACTATTTTTTTGACCATAAAAAACCCCAAACTGGTACACTTGTGACAAATCTACCCTGAACTATTTTTTTGACCACCAAAAACCCCAAACTGGTATACATGTGACAATTTTACCCCGAACTAATTTTTTAATATTATTTTTTATTTTTTGAATTTTTTTTATTAATTTTGTCTTTCCTTTTTATTTTTCCTTTCTCTTCGACCTCTGACCGGCGACCGGCCAGAGGCGGAAGCCGGCAAGGTCGGCCCCGCTGGCCACTGGCGAGGCTCGACCTTGTCGGCGTTGGGCGAGGTCGGCCTCGCCTTGCAACGGCGAGGTCAGCCTCGCCCAACGCCGGCGAGGTCGGCCTCGCCCGGCAGATCTGGCGAGGCTCGACCTCGCCCAACGCCGGTGAGGTCGTGCCTCGCCAACGGCCGGCAGGTGGCCGGGCCCTCGCTAGATCCGGCGAGGCTCGACCTCGCCGTTGCAGGGCGAGGTCGTGCCTCGCCAACGGCCGGCGGGGCCGGGCCCTTGCCGAGATCCGGCGAGGCTCGACCTCGCCGTTGCAGGGCGAGGCCAACCTCGCCCAACGCCGGCGAGGTCGAGCCTCGCCAGTGGCCAGCGGGGCAGACCTCGTCCGCTTCCGCCTCTGGCCGGTCTGGCGACCGGCCAGAGGTTGAAGAGAAAGGAAAAAAAAAGGAAAGAAAAAATAAAAAAATTTTAATAAAAAAATTTGAAAAGTAAAAAATAATATTAAAAAATTAGTTCGGGGTAAAATTGTCACATGTATACAAGTTTGGGATTTTTGGTGGTTAAAAAAATAGTTCATGGTAGATTTGTCACAAGTGTACCAGTTTGGGATTTTTTATAGTCAAAAAAATAATTTAGGGTAAAATTGTCACAAGTGTACCAGTTTAGGGTTTTTCGCGGTATTAACCCAAATAAGATCAATAGCGGACGCTTGGACATAGGTTCATCAAACTCTTGAGGTCGAATTTATTTTGCTACAGTTGTAACAAACCGTGAAATGACAATATTATATAAGTCACGACTTGTTCAAAGCCATTATGAAAGATTTCATTGACTTATGATAAAATGATTGCAATTACCATGTGTTACGATTTGCAAAACCATAAGAGATTTCAAATATATCCAACTCTCATGAACCATGATTAGTTCAAATCAATTAGATGGAAAAAAGTAGGAACTGCCGAACTAATACTTAGACATGGTCGACCAATCTACGAGATAAAATGCATTATTTTACGACAAAGCTAAACCGTGACATGACAAAATTAGATGTATTAGGACTTATTGCGTATTGTTCATTGAAGAAGTAATACCAGAATTTTGATTGGCTTACGACAATTGTAAGGTGTTACGCTATCAAATACAATGAGAGCATTTCGAGTGTTAGCAACCGTCGTAGGCCACGATAATGCAAATGCAAGTGATCGGCCAAAATAGGAATAGGCAATCGATATTCGATAATGGTGCAAAACTTCTAGATGCACAACAACCGGCTACATCTAATTCTTGGAAAAGCAATCACGACATATTTCATTCATTACCGTCGCAATAATTACAATGAGTTACAGACTAAAAAACAACGAGAATATTATTGAATTCCCCCGGTTCTCGTGAACCATGACGAGGTCAAATCAATCTGGCGGAAAAACAGTAGAAAACCGTCGATCAATACTTAAACGTCAATCATTTGATCTCAAATAGACAAAAGTAAATCGTGGCACTTTACAAAATAAAATAATACGATGTGTTTATTAAAAAGGTATTACGAAAATTTTTCACAGGCACATAACAAAATAAATCATATAATGACGTGTTACGTCGATACCGTACAA